TTTGCCAGAGTAACATCAAATTTCATTCTGAACATTGTAATAACAGCCCAAACATACTGAATAATATTTTGTTACTTTTGTACTGTTGAGAATCATCCCAACAAACTTTTAAAATATTGTCTGAACATTGTTTCAAGGTCAAAATAATCATTATATGAAATGTTCTTACATTAGAGTGAATGCATAAACTATGGCAACGCTGTGGATTAGTATTAAATTGCTTTGCAGGCATGATATTTTATCTTATGATAAAATAATGGTATGTAACAGGAGCTTTGCAGATGGGTAACTGTGTATCTTTTGTTGCTATTGTAATAGTAGTTCCTATAAATGATCTCTATTATGGGGGGGATATGAATTAACATTGTTTGGCAAGCATAATCCCATGGTTTAATCATACTTTTAGAGTATTAAAATAGATCTTCTTGTACTGTGAGTTGCAACTTTCTACATATCTACAGGATGGTTAGGATTTAGCTAGATGCTTCATCAATGTCAGTGGAGTCATTTAGCTTGAATAACCCAGTGTAATTTGAGAGGAGTAACGGCTGATCCTGTTTAGATGCCAAATCTCATTGTTCAGTGGTAAAGTATTACATTTACTGCTATATTCTTAGGATGATCTTTCAAAGCATTATGGAAAATAGCTGTTTTGTATTTAAAATACCAATTAAACTTTAAATTAAATGCTTTCAGTCTTTTAACCAGTTAAAATGAATTTATTGTGCAATCTTTCTGACATCAACAAATATCTATATTCATAATGTATGTGTATAGATTTATACAGATACACACACACATATGTATACACACACACACACACACACACACACACACACAGAGAGAGAGAGAGAGAGAGAGAGAGAGAGAATGAATGAACTTTATCTACACCTGAAGAAGTTTCCATTGATTTCTGCCCTATTGAAGATGCCATTGAAAATAAGATGTTGATTTGAAACAAAAGATACATTTTTGTACACCTTAACTAATGGACAGATGAAGATACTTACTCTATAATCAAGTATTATAAATGTAGCTAGATCTTTGCATTGGAAGCAGAACAATGTGCACATGTGTATGGTTGTCTAATGGACATAATGATAAATGATGATTTTATTTTCAATTCTCTTTCCCTTGGCTGGGAAGTTGTCTGCTGTGCAGTCTATCACCCTATGTTGATGGAATGTCTATCTAGAAATGTCCTCATATGTGGCTTCTAAAGCAGTGGTTCTCAACCTTTTTAATGCCGCGACCCCCAACCGGTCGTAAGTTGAGGACTAAACCGGTCGTAAGTCGAGGACTAAACCGGTCATAAGTCGAGGACTACCCAACCGGTCGTAAGTCGAGGATTTTCCCTGCCTGGGAGCGCCGTGCATGCGTGGTTCCGCCCACCAGCTGGCCCAGCCCAAGGGAGGTAAGGCACCCGCCGAAAAAGGGAAAAAAATGGCGGACAGCCTTGCTTGGCGACCCCTGTGAAATGGTCGATTGACCCCAAATGGGGTCGCGACCCATAGGTTGAGAAACACTGTTCTAAAGCTATATTACCCGATCTCCCCACCCCCATCCCGGAAAATTGACTTCTCCAGCCTCTTATTTCTTTTCTTCTGAATTTTAAACTCATTTTGTTTCTTCCTTGTGTGTTTCCCACCAATTCTCTGCTCAGTGCAAAGTTTAGCTGTCCCAATGGATGACCAAGATCTGCTTGAAAAATCTCCTAACAAAAGAAGTCTCACTACTTTGCTAGATACTTGATTGTAACTGTTAAGAATCTGTTTTCATAATGTTCAGGAGGAATCTACCTAGATCTTCTGCTGCCCCTTTCTAATTGCAACTATTTAAGTCTCTAGAGAGTGCTATCATGTTCTGTCCCAAATTTCCCCATAGTTCTAATAATCTTTGTTCCTGTCTTGTCATTAAGTGAATCTGGCTTCCCCATTGACTTTGCTTGTTGGAAGCCAGCTGAGAAGGTCACCAATGGGCCTTTCCAGGATACTGCAAACATTGTAAATATGTGTTGGTTGCCAAGTGCCCAAATTTTGATCAAGTAGATCACAGGGATGCTGTCACAATGGTTAAGTGCAGAAACTGGCTATAAGTCACTTTTTTCAGTACCACTGTAACTTCAAATGGTCGTTAAATGAATGGCTGTAAGTTGAGGACTACCTTTACTCAAATTACATTACTGTATCTTTATCTACAGGTATGCAGCTTAAATGGGAATTTAAGTGATATGAGATTGTTCTTGTCCGTTGTTTCTTATTTCCAGAGTATAATTCACAGAAAACAATGACTTTTTAATATATTAACTTGTCATCAGAGTTAAAAACTTAGGCTACAAAAAGAAGCTGGTGTAATTCAGATGTATTGTTCAGGGCACTGATGACAAGTACTTATTCTACACTATCAGAAAAATACAACATAACCCATGATGTGGGATACCCAATGCTGATAGTCCTTGATTAGTTTGTGTGCAGCAAAGATGATCACACTTCCAATTTCTGATGGAGAAGAGAGTCATATCTTCTCAGACTAAGCCAAAGGAAGAGACTGACTGTGGGAAAGTTCTTACTGAAGGGATAGTATCATCTTGAATCAATACAATTTGACCTGTATCAACACAATTCATTCTTTTTTGCCTCTGTACTAAAGTTTAGATGATGCGGAGTGTGATGTCAGTTGTTAAAAGATAATTGGAATGGGTCCAGGAAATTGCAGGTTGGTAAGCATATGGCTTGTTCTGAACTGCTATGAAAGTTTTATTAAAGACTGAATGAACAAACAGACAGAAAAACAAATCTTACTGAAGAATCAACATGAATTTGCCAAGATAAGCCCTGCCCCAGTAGCCTTTTACAGTTCTTTAAAATTCTAAGAAACTGAGGATAGCCTGCTATGACCCAATGCATTTTATTTATTTTAATTTTGATAACAATATATCTGCTGTATAAAGTGGTCAGCATCTTCCATCCAGCATTCTGTTCCCACTGGGGATATCACCTGGATATCCACCAGTTGAACATAATCTCAATATTTCCTGCCTGCTTATAGCAAGAGACCTTCAATTCTCATACTGGAGGTAATTTAGATTTATTCTGACCAATAGTAACTTCTAATATTATTTGCCATAAATGTGTCTAATCCCCTCTTAAAAATAGTCAAGGAGCAGCAATCATTATCTTCAATAGGGATTTCCTCTGTTTTAAGTAAAATTAAAATTGAATTAACATAGTTTCGAATTTGTCTTGTTTTTCCCATTCTTCATGTTTCAATGTTATGAAAGAGAACCTTTCCTGATCCACTTTTTCCACGCTTGATATAATATATCTTGTTTCTTCTTATTTACCATTCCTTATTAAGCTAAAACATATCTGGTAGTCATGGATATCATAATTTTTCTCCATGCTCTCAAATTAATAGCTCTGCCAGCTATATAATTTTGCTTTTATCAGCAAGTTGTCACCAATTATAAAGATTAATCTAAAAAAGAGGAGAGGTCTGTGGGTGCTTATTTTTACCCCCAAAGTGGAGAAGATGTAAGGAAAACCAGACATTTATTACAAAGGTTTTAGGCAAAAACTCACACTAAATGGCAGTTTCTAGACCACTTTGGCTGACAGCTAAAAGGATAAGGGTTAGATCTGGTTAATACTTTCTCTGGTGACCATCAAGAAATTAGACAGAGAAAAGTCTAATAAAAGTACCCTGGAACAAGGCAATGGATTCTAACAGCTACATGATCACAGAAAATAGACCGCAACTCAGGGGAGTCTTTACCTTTAAGACAAGTTATGCACTTGTTAATCATGAGGAAAATAGGATTCTGAAGAAGCTGCCTAATGTATTTTTAGCCTATCTACAATACAGTAATACAGACACTGGGTTTGGACCATAAATTAACCACGCAGCCTTGGTTCTTACAATAGCATCGGACTAGAATCTCTTTGGCTGTTCTATTCTGATTCAATGGATTGTGCAAACATAGCCAGACAGCAACCAACTCTCAATCTTTTTTAAACGAATCCGTGAATCATTTAGAGATAATGGAACTCAGGATCGAAGTCAGTACCCCCACAAACCAAGATGCTGATTGGAGGAAAGCATAGTTTTGTAACAGGTGGGAATGAAAGAGCAATGTGCTGGGAGAGAGTCTGCAGTGCAAGACGGGTCCCCCTCCCATCCTCGAGACTGTGTGACCTTGCAAGGGTCATTGCCTGCCCACCCAGCTCTGACAAACCTTGCAAAGAAGCTGCCCCAGGACACCGCCTCATCGTCCTTGTCTCCAACCAGATCCTATTGCGTTACAGCCGTTGGGCAGCAAGCAGACTTGGGCTAAGCTTTCTTTTAGAAGGCCATCCCGAGGAGGTGCGAGCCTCTGTTACTCAACCACCCGTTGTTTTTCACGTCCCCTACATGGAAGGAAAGGGCGCGGGCTTTTGAGAAGCGCCGAAGCTGATGCGCTGGAAGGGGACGCTTACCCAACGCGGTCCTGCGCGCCTATATTTGGAGGTAACCCTTTCTGGGCACCGAGACTCAGAGGGACTTCCTGCAAAGTAAGGATTACAATCGCAGTCGCCGCCCACGGGATGGACTCTTGCATTCTCCCCTCTCTCGCCTGCTCTCTCAGTAACGTGTTGCTCCCTCGCTTTGACCTGTATAGCAGCCAAGCGGGCGCCCGCGCCGGGTCTCCCTAGCGCTGCAGGCTGCTCGCTCGGCGCTCTCACGAAGGAGAGACGGGAGAAAGAGACCCCTCCTTCGTTCCAGAACAGAGCGCTCCCCTTGCTCGTCTCCTTCTCCTCGCTCCTACAGGAGGGCAACCGCGTGGGCGATGGCGGCGCCGACGGAGTGACTGGAAAGGCGGGAGAGGCGGCAGCCAGCCTGCGAGGATGTTTTGAGCCGGGCGGTGGCCGTGGAGCTGGGCGGGTCGCTCTGGCCGTCCGCCTGGGGTCTCGCTTGGGCGGCTGCCGGGGAAACAGGCTCCCCTCCGCGCTCTTGTTACATTTATGGACGAGCACCTGAGCCTTCTGCGCTCGCCGGCCGCCCCGTCTTCCTGCAAGCATTCGAGGGGCGGCAGCAGCAGCAGCAGCAGCGTCGGCGGCGTCGTGGGAAGCAGCCACCATAACCTGGGCTACAGCGAGCAGCTCTTCCCCGAAGGCACGCTTTCCGCCCCCGAGGAAGGGCAGGAAGAAGAGGAGGACGGCGACGGGGACGAGGAGGAAGACGAGGACGGGGAGCTGGAGGGTGGCATGACTGTAGTGGCTGGAGAGGACCCTCTGATCGATGAAACCCAACATCCCCATGCCCTGCTGGGAGGGGAGCGCTATGACCACCCTCTTGCCCATACCCTGCCTCCCCACAGTCATCACCAAGTGGGCACCGGTGGAGAGGAGCACGAGTGTTGTGAGAGGGTCGTGATCAACATCTCAGGGCTGCGCTTTGAGACCCAACTCAAGACACTGGCCCAATTCCCAGAGACACTGCTGGGTGATCCCCGCAAGAGGATGCGCTACTTCGACCCTCTTCGCAACGAGTACTTCTTTGACCGCAATCGGCCCAGCTTTGATGCCATCCTTTACTATTACCAATCTGGAGGCCGTATCCGCCGCCCCGTTAATGTGCCCATTGATATCTTTTCAGAAGAAATACGTTTCTATCAGTTAGGTGAAGAGGCCATGGAAAAATTTCGAGAAGATGAAGGTTTCATCCGTGAGGAGCAGAGACCTCTGCCTGAGAAGGAGTTTCAGCGCCAGGTGTGGCTCCTTTTTGAGTACCCAGAGAGTTCCGGACCAGCTCGGGGCATTGCTATTGTGTCTGTTTTAGTCATCCTCATCTCCATTGTCATATTTTGTCTAGAAACCTTACCTGAGTTCAGAGATGACCGTGACTATGATAGTGCTGCAGGAACATTTGGGACTGGGAGTAGTCCTTTTGTGACTGATGTTTTCACCAATATTTCTTCCCCAGCTACATCTATGGTATCATCCTTCACTGACCCTTTTTTTGTGGTGGAGACTTTGTGCATTATCTGGTTCTCTTTTGAGCTGCTTGTCCGCTTTTTTGCTTGTCCCAGCAAGCCCACCTTCTCTAAGAACATTATGAACATAATTGACATTGTGGCCATTATACCTTACTTCATCACCTTGGGCACTGAACTGGCTGAGAGGCAGGGGAATGGACAGCAAGCAATGTCTCTGGCTATTCTCAGAGTCATCCGGCTAGTAAGAGTCTTCCGTATCTTCAAGCTCTCTCGGCACTCCAAAGGGCTGCAGATCTTGGGGCAAACTCTGAAGGCCAGTATGAGGGAACTGGGCTTGCTCATTTTTTTCCTTTTCATCGGTGTTATCCTCTTTTCTAGTGCTGTCTATTTTGCAGAAGCTGATGATCCCACTTCAAGTTTTAGCAGTATCCCTGATGCCTTTTGGTGGGCTGTGGTAACCATGACCACTGTGGGTTATGGTGACATGCATCCCGTCACTATTGGAGGCAAAATAGTAGGATCTCTCTGTGCCATCGCTGGTGTGCTAACTATTGCCTTGCCTGTTCCAGTCATTGTCTCCAACTTCAACTACTTTTACCACCGGGAAACAGAAGGGGAAGAACAAGCTCAGTACATGCACGTAGGAAGCTGCCAGCATCTCTCCTCCACTGAGGAGCTGAAGAAAGCTCGTAGTAATTCCACTCTCAGCAAGTCGGAGTACATGGTGATAGAAGAGGGAGGCATCAGCAACAGTGCATTCAAACAGGCTGCTTTTAAAACAAACAACTGCTCTGGCACAAACAATCCCAACTGCGTGACTATTAAAAAAATCTTTACGGATGTTTAAAATCTTTTCGCAGAGGTTGAAAGAAAATCACAGGAAGTCTGCGTAATCAGTATTTGTGAGGAACATGCATCATTGTCAGTCTTTGTGCTCTTGTTTAGTACATATACTTTTCTGGTCCTTCCTTCTGAAGATAAAATATTTTTTTAGAAGAACAAAGAACCAAGCAGATATTAAGAAAGAAGGTAGATAAGCTAACACAAGGAATGTGTTGTTGCTGCTCCCTTTGGAAACAGGTTTTTATTCTGCACAGTTGGTTTCAGGGCATTGAGATTTTAGTGAGAAACGTGTTTGTCTAATTTTTATAAAGAGCAGCTACACTGTTGATTTGCTTTTCTTTTACGTATGCACTTGTTGGATGGAAAGGAGTGGAGTGTAAGGATAATGAAAGTAACTGTGCTCTAGTGAATGAGAAGAATAAGACATAAATGTCACAAACTATCTCACATTATAATAGGATGGCCACAATTGAAAATCTGATGTATGAAGTTGCAATCTTGATTTTTTTTTAAAAAAACATATTAGGTTAGAGCCATGTGTATTCTGAATCCGCCCATGACATATGTCGTATCTCTTTAATACAACAAGGGAAACGCCTCCATTGTGATTTTGGATTTCTTTGATCCCTGAATTCCCAAAGAATTGCAACTTTGAATCTGAAGTGCTACCTGGGTATTGTAGTATTACTTCTTCCTACACAGTGAGACTGAACAATTGACCAACTGGATCATATCTTGATGATCTGAATATGATGAATTATTTAGTTTTTAGTAAATTTCTAACAGGCTTTTATTTTGACTGCAGCTTCAAAACCAAAAAGCAAAAGAGGTATTTCCATAAATGTTCAGTGCATGTAAGATAATCACAAGAAGATTAAAGTGACAAACACGCCTTGCAGCGGAAGTTACTAATTTGGACCTGAGTGGTACAGTTTCCATAGCAACTTTGGTTTCCTGGGAAACTCCCAAAGGTTGTCATAGCATCCGTTCTTTCCCTCCCTCAATCTTCTGCTGTTTCTATAGTAACCATTCCAGATGGTTCCAACTTCTGTGGTTCCACAGAAAAGCTGCTGCTCTGATAAATCACACACACATACAAACACAAACATGCACACAAATGTACACAGCATTAATCCCTAAGAGATTTAGTTGTGGAAGTTAAGCATTATTCTGTATGTACCATTTCTATATTGGCAAAATTTGAGATGGCTGCATATCATAAAGAAAAGAGTTAATATGATTTTTTTTAAAAAAAACTATTTCACATAATATAATTAAACACCTATTTGACCAAAAGCAAAGAATTTCTCCCCTGCCAATCTTCCACATCTCTTGCAATTTGATATCTGATTATTGAAACCTGGAATTAATTCTAAATGAGTTACCTGTACAACTGCATAGAAGGTTTAAAAAGATGGCATTGCCCTCTACCTTTAACAGAATAAATCATATAATATTGATTTATAATAATTATTTATTGCATATGACCTAGTATTATGCAAAAAAACCTCTTTTCAAAGCATGTAAAGCACTGAAGATCAAGACCAAAACATTTATTACAAAAGGATGGTGATGAAGTGTTGGTTCAAAAATACTTAAAAGTCTTCTGGGAAATGTATATCCATCTTCTCTGAAGTACACATCTGCAGCTATGGAATATCAGACAGATACAGGTGAGCTGTTTGCTAATTCAAGGAGAATTGCTCTCCCTAAGATAATGTGTGAAGATAACATCTTGTGATCAGTAAGAAAAATAATCAGAGAATTAAAACAAAAGCCTTTTATTTAATTTTAATAACCTAATCAGTTTTAAGGATTTTATTATAACATTCTCAATTCATTGATTTTAATCTCTCGCCTTTAGTTTTAGAAGCACAAAAGAACAATGTGTTGAAAGGTAGTTCTACTGGTTTAAGCACAAATAGCTTCTAGTATATCTGGTTTCAGAATATATTTTTGGCTCTATATCTCTACTGAAGTCCAGTTTGATCTGCTATATTAGCCCCTGATGTTTCTTAATATTCCTTTCCGTAATGCATTAGGATATTTAATGTTAGTTCTTATATCATTTTGTAGATTTAATTGCATGCTCTTGGAGGAAAAATGGAATTTGTATGTGTTGGTTCCATGCAGTATTTATATCTACTTTTTTTTTTAATCAAGAAGTTCAGTTCACTGAACCGTGGCATTATATGGAGCTTTGTCATTTCTGCCAGATGATAATATCTGTAGGGTGTAGGGTCAGAGGAATAGGTCACTTTGTTTATGTGTCTATGAATTTCAAATTTTTATATATCAGGTTTGACAGAGAAGATAAAGACAATAAGGAATGACTACTTTTTAATCATCATCATCATTCAAATTTGTTAAATATATACTAAACACAGAACAAGAACGATTTAGGTAGGATCTATATTACATTAGTTGCATCCATATGCATACACCCAATATGAGCTTGGACAATTTCCCATGAATACTGTCCTCCACCATTCTGTTTTCTTTGTCTAAGTAAGTGTCCTGTTGCTTATTTAGCCAAAATAACATCATCAGGATGTGAGGAAGAGATAGCACATTTGAAAAAACTCATATTTAGAGAATTTAAAAAAAAATACTTAAGGAAAAAACTATGGGGACAAACACCACAGATTTTAAGAAAGACTGTTATTGATAATCTCAGCTGACTATTGGAATGATAAAGTAAGATAATGAAGAAAGGGATGAATGATGTATTCTGAAAAGGATCATTGCTTGCTGATTAGAAACATGAACAGAAATATCACATGCTTCATTTTATGATAGGTTTAACCCATTACAATGTACTTTGAAGTTCTCTTTGTCCCCAAAGAAGGATCTAATATTTAGCAGAATTATGTATTAGTGTTCTTTGAATCTAGTTCATTATAATGAATAGGAACTATCAGCTCAAGAAATTGATAATGTACATTATTTTGGTTTCCCCCCTTTAATCCAAATATTGGGAGTGAGACTGCCTTGTTTTTATTAGGACACATGCATTGAATTCAGATAAAATGTAAGAACAGAGAACTGCTTTTGTTGAAGGTTCTATCCACAAATGAAGCAGAAAAAGGTCATTTAAAAATAGCTCACTAAAATGGCTCCTCCTATTTTTTAGTAGGCAATATCTCTACAAAAATTGTCAGGTTGTTCAAGACAGATGTTCAGTTTCCTTTTTGGTTTATTTCATGTTATTTTATTTTTAAATTCATGTTTGTCATGAATACAAATGTTTGTCAATACAAATGTCAAATATATATATATATATATATATATATATATATATATATATATATATATATATATATATATATATATATATATATATATATATATATATATGTTTTTTGAGGTTTTCACGGGTGTTTATATGTGAGTCTTTGGTCATTCGGGTTTTCTCCCGTGTAAGATTAGAAGTATCATAGCGACGTTTCGATGAAATCACATTCATNATATATATATATATATATATATATATATATATATATATATATATATATATATATATATATATATATATATATATATATATATATATATATATAAGCTATCAAAATAATAACATTCATTTTAATGCTAAATAATGAGTAGTGAGCAATAGGTCTGTCTGTTTAATGGGAAGCTTGGTCAACTATTCCATTAGAATAGGATAAGGTTATCTTTAATCTGTTAATAATTGTGAAACCAATTACTCAGTGAAGCGGTGAACCCTTTTTCTCTGAATTGATTCAGACAGAGATTAGATTATTGGGAATGCTTTAATCTGGATTAAAGTTGACCTGAGACAGTGGTTGAACTTCATGGCCTAAATGCCTCCTAAATGAATTTGTACAATTTAATAATAAATCCAAAGAAAAGAATAGGATGCCACTTAACCCGCCTTGCATTAGTGAAATGTCAGATTGGCAATTACGAAAAAGAGAAAATCAAGAGGGAAATTTCAACTGCTTGGAGTCTACCACAAGTTCAACAGAGAAAACGAAGTATTTAGAAATAGGGGAAAGCAGACCTTAGGTTTATTAGTGTCCAAAGGATGGTGTAATCATGCATTCTCTGCGGAGAGAATGCCAAATCTCAGTGTTTATTAAATGGAAACGCTCATATAAGTGTCTTTTTTCATGCCACCACCAAAGTCAATCATAGCATATACTGTAATTAAAAAGTACAGCTGAGGGTCATCAATATATTGCCAATCACAATCAGCATGATTGTGTTTAACTCATGTAATACTTTCCCTCCATTTTTAATGCTGCAGTAAGAAATTGTTAGTTGCTTTCAATCAACCATTGCAATAAATTTTCCAAACTGTATTAGTTTTACATCCTAAATCACCTCTGATGTTTATCTGAGAAAAGAGTAAGGAGACAATTAAATATTTCCCCTCTCTATGGCTATTCTAAAGAAATTAGTAATCCCTTCTTATGAGTGTATTTCATAAAGAGTAGAAAATCTGTTTCAGATCTGTTTACATTATGTGCAATTTGGCATTTAGCCAGTAAATGTAACTTGCATATATCAAAACTAGCATGAAGCATCATCACTTTGTTGCCATGTCTAGAAATCAAGAACAAATATTTTTGTTTTGGTTTTGTTTTGTTTAAACTAAGCCACTTTGAAGACTAGTTTTAAGGCCTAAAAGTGTCATAGAAATAATATTGTAATTAAATAAAAAGATATTTCACTCATAGCATGCAGTGAATGCTATAAAAACAAGAAATACCCAACAATTAAGGAAAATAAGAAATTAAGGGCCGATAAACAACACTTTTTTTCCCCCTCAGAGCTTTTGCAGAGTTTCCCAGCCTCAAGTTTTAACTCTACCTTTCCAATTGGAACTGCAACAAAATACTTCACAAGGTAAGCAAGGTATGGGACTTCATCAGAAAATTGTAAAGTATGCTTCACTATGCTGTATGACTCCTGCATCTCTTCCATCTTTCTTCTAATCAGACTCCCCCAAGAAAAGCTATGGCTGACTGGAGCAATAGA